AGCAAGTAAATTATTCAAAGAGAAAAAAATTCCTACAGGAATTTCTGACCGAAAAAGAGAATCCTACAGGAATTTTAGAAATCCTATGGGATATATTTTTCCTAAGGGATTTTTTCTCTCTCCTGTAGGAAATTGTATTCCTACAGGAGATTAAATTCTCCCATAGTAATTTAATTTCCTGTAGGATTTCTTAAATATCCCACAGGAAATTAAGAAATCCTGCAGGATTTTGATAATATCCCTCAGGAATTTTATTTTTCCTATAGGAACTTTATTTTTCCTATGGGAATTTTTTGTTCAAAGGTGATTATCTCACCTGACAGGTGAGATTTACCTGTAACAAAGGTAGTTATGAACTCTGTGAGTGATGGTCTACCACTTGGTATACATGCTTTTTATGTGAAATGAGAATGTGGCGCGCGCCAAAATGCCACTTTTGAAATGGCATAATTATCCGGCACAGTGTTATAGGTAGAATACTTATTACATGTGTTTAGAACCCTTGCATACACACCCTTTTTTTGGGGGGGGGGGGGGGGGGTAGGGGCCGGGGCATCTAAATCAAATGTTGTTAAAAGTGTTAAAATAAAGCGAAAAGAAATTTAATTAATTATAATAAGCTGCCTTTCAAATTTTTTCGTATATCTATATCACAACATTGGGTATGTAAATATTTTCATTTTAAAGTAAAAATATCAATGATTGAAATAAAAGGTGGAATGTATCAAGTTTTCATTATCTTTCTTTAACTAAGAAAGCTGAATACCTAGGATCCACCTCCTGAAATCTGTTGCCGTAAATTGTCTTGCCAGCGTTTGGGGAATATGGGTGATTTGCACCAATGATACTTTTATTGACTCCATTGCTTTGGAAAATTTGACGTGATTTCTTGGCATGAAACCACGAAAACAATAATTTTTATATAAGATTCCAATAGAAAAAACTCTACCACCTTTTCGTCCGGTAAATTAAAAAAATCCGAATGTATAATATCTCATACTTGTACATGAATTATTTTATAACCTGTTTATGTTATAATAATAGATGTAATAGAAGTAAAACTGTGGTGAAGCAAAGCCACTAACATTTGTACAGTATATAACACACACGTACTTACACAGCAAGAACATTAAATTTAAGCTCTTGGATAGTTTAAGTAATGTTTTGTATGTTAAATGACCTTCCTTACTGATTTCTTTATTATATTCAACAAACAAAATAAGATGTTTGTAAATGATATCAATGGGAAGATCTTTGTTTGTTCACTTAATGGCCGGCGCGTATAAACAGCGATAAGAATCTAAGCAGGGCTTTACACATGATGACCATTCCCCTGCTGTTAATTGATGGGTGTAATTCTGAAGTCTGTAGGAAAAGAAACAAGAAGACGCAAACTAAGTTACGTGTAATCGTCTAAAATATAATCGCTGGATTGGAGTTTTTTTTACGATAGTGGGAGCAGGGCAACTAAGAGAATGTATTTGACCACGTGCTCAGTTTGGGACCAGGCAAAATTTATCACAATGATGGGACCGGTACAAACAGGCATGGGACAATGAGTTTTTTCATCGCAGAAAACCATGGGACAAAAACATTTTTAGCATTAAGTATAACCATGGGACACAAACATTTTTTCAATGAGTTACACTACTTACGGCAGTTCAAAGTTAATTCTATGTTTAACGTCACATCCAAAGTTCAAAAACCTTCAATGGAGGGAGGAACAAAAACAAACAAAACTTTTAAACAATTGTGAATTTATTCAAATTAGCCTATTCAGTACATTAAATACACTATAATTGAGTAATAAGAGTATTAGATATGACACTTAAGTCTAAGTTTTCAAGCAGAGTTTTTCCCTTAGTATGTAAATGGGTTGAGTCCTTTTGTATGCAAACAATATAGACTAAATTTGCAGGAGAGTGGCTTTTAACTAGGCCTCATTTGTCCTTTGGATTTATATTGCCACATGGTAGTCTGTAAGGAAATGCTTCTTCTTGTGGGAATAGTTGTACAATATCTACAATTAAAATTCATGATGACAATATTTAATACATTCTTACATTGAAATATCTTGAAATTTAATTATGCTGTATTTTTACTTATAGTACTAGATTACAAGCATTTAGTTTTGAAAGTGCAGATACTAATATTTGGACCATACATGTAGCTGTTAGATTATCTTACCTTGAATTCCAAACACATGACAATCGATTCTTCACTTCTTGGAATACCCCATTCACTTTCCTTACTTTCCTTCATTTGAAAGTCCCCATCTTCAGTAAGCTTCTCTCTGCTCAAATGGAAATGACTACCGGTAGTATTATCCTTCCCAAAATATATAGCTATTTGTCTTACTGTTCCTATAAATTTTTACAGAAATATTTTAAGATGAAGTTATTTTTAAAATTTAAATGATGCATCTCAATGTATATTATAAAATCTTGGTTTTTGACACACTTTGTAAAGTTTGGATATTCTCCAAAATTCGATGAAAATTTCAGGCAACATAATCACGAACTGAGAGTCTGTGATTCGAAGACTGACCAAAAAATCAACAAACAGGAGTTTGGCACTAACTTCTTTCATAAAATCATATATTTTTTACTTACATTTATGATCCCATACTGTTTAATTCATAATTCATTAGTTTTCTTTCAATAAGACACCACCAACTGCCGAAGCCCATTTTCCTGTCACTACCGGAAGCAGATTTAGGTCGCTAAATGTAGAACCAATCCGGAACGGATATACGAACTTCCGAATTGTTTGGGTTTTTTTTGAAGTTTGTTTTTGTTTGTTTTATTATTCAGGAAATGGCACATGTAACGTAAGACACATAGAAACATAAGTTGGCACATAAATATATAAGGCAATATATGTGTTTTAAGATATTGATCGCATTTTGAATAAAACAGCTGTAAAAGGTGAAAAGACGGATTTCTCCTTAACCTACGCGCGCAGATAACGTTATACTCAGTACATAGAATTTATTTTAAACAGCCTAGCTAACCCAAGAGAGATATTCATTATATTTAAAAATAAATATATTCTTTTTTTCCGAAAAAGGTCGTATCTTCGAAAGTCAAATGAAAGATTTAAATAGCAAAATAAATCTTAAATTAATGAATAATATTACAAAGTATAAAAATAAAAAAACAAACAAAAATTATCGATATTTGAAATATCTGTAATCTGAAAGACTCCTAGTTTAATTTATTCCAATATTTCACTAACACTAAGATGTTACCATGGGACAGTAACTTTTTTTTAGTCTCAAGGCATGGGACGGATATTTTTTTTCAAATAAAATGTCATGGGACACATACTTTTTTAAAATGAGAATTTTGTTTTGTACTGGTCCCATCATTGTGATAAATGTTGCCTGGTCCCTTAAGTAAATATAAGATTAAAAGCGCATTTCCTCCTTGGCTGAACGGCATGCGTCTTCGGAGATTATGCACGTATCGAAATTTCCACCATCGAACTATCTAAACAATTAATGGAACGACTGCATAAATAAGCCCTGGTTAAATCTAGTACTGTCTGACGCCAAGACGTCAGACAACAAGTATTAGCTTTCCTAAAAAGCTCGTCTGACGTGGTTTGCTTAAATTCACAAAGCGGAAAGAAATCATTAATTATATACATTTTACATATTTTTTTTTCGTTCGGTAATCTATCTTTAAAAGACCATGTGTAATCAATATTGCCAATGCAGCTCAATTTCTTTTAAATCATGGTGAAGATGAATTTACTGAACACAATTTGCAATAACATCTTTCTTTTCTCATTAATACTACGTTTGATTTTATAACATTTTTTCTGTGGAAAAGGGATATAGCATGTAAAAAATTACCAAATGAAATGATATTTCCAACAATGAAGTTAGACTACATAATGTCAACAGAAATTATGTTTTAATCTATATATATTTTTCAAAAACTCAAGTTCAGTTTAATTTTAAACCATTTTATGACATGCCATGATATAACAACTGGTCTATACATAATCATTAAAATTTATGGATCGTTTAACCAGTACAATAGTAATTCCAAGAAACCTTGCACATTCCATCTGGAGAGCGAACTCAATAAAAGACGAATTAACGTTAATCGGTGATTTTTACCCAGGGAGATGTGCGCGCGGAGTCAATTCATGCCAGCAGTTTTGTGGGAGGGATCTTCAGTTTTACTGGGTTTAAACAGGCACGTAGCAACAGGGAGGCCCCCTCCACTTTTTTTTCCAACATTACCTTTACTATAGAAAATGTCCATTGAAAGGTTGGTTGCCCCCCCCCCCACTTCTGACCACAGTAAAGAGTAAAGTGATATCAAGGAAATGTAGTATGGCATGAAAAAAAATAGAAATGAAAGGAAGTTGGACTTGCAAAAAGTGGCCACTAACGTAAAAGAAAAAATCTCTGGCTGCCCCCTTTAAAAACGATGGCTACGTGCCTGTTAAAACATAGGTAGAATACTGGTTATTTACAACCCTTGCATATACACACCCTTTTTGGGGGGTGGAGGTGGGGCATCTAAATCAAATGCTGTGAAAAGAGTAATATAAAGGGAAAAGAAAGTTAAATTAATTATAATAAGATAACTAATTCTTCATTAAAAATAAGCTGCCTTTCAAATTTTTACGTATTTCTATATCAAAACATTGGCTATATATGTAAATATTTTCATTTTAGGGTAAAAATATTAATGATTGAAATAAAAGGTGGAATGTATCAAGTTTAATTTTCTTTAACTAAGAAGGTGACACCCAAGGATCCATCCCATGAAATGATGGGTGATTTGCTTCAATTACACTTTTAATGACTCCATTGCTTTGGAAAATTTGACGTGATTTCTTAGCATGAAAACACGAAAACAATGTTTTTATAAGATTCGTTCGGGAAATTAAAAAAATCCGAATGTATAATATCTCATACTTGTTAAATCGATTTATGTTATAACCTGTTTATGTTATCATTATAGATGTAACAGGAGTAAAACTGTGATGAGGCAAAGTCACTAGCATCTATGAATTTACATACGTACAGTATATAAAACACTAACTTACACAGCAAGAATATTTAATTTAAGCTCTTGCATTGTTCAAGTAATGTTTTGTATGATAAATGACCTTACTGATTTCTTTATTCAACAAACAAAATAAAATGAAGTTTGTAAATGATATCAATGAGGATCTTTGTTTGATCACTCAATGGCCGGCGCGTAGAAACAGCGATAACAATCTTAGCAGCGCGTTACACATGATGACCATTCCCCTGCTGTTAATTGATGGATGTTTGTAGAAAAAGAAACGAGAAGACGAAAACTAATGCACGTGTAATCGTCCAAAATATAATCGCTGGATTGGAATTTGTTTTTTTAACTATAGTAGGAGCAGGGCAACTAAGAGAATATATTTGACCACGTGCCCAGTTAAGTAAATAAAAAATTAAAAGCGCATTTTCTCCGTGGTCGAACGACATGCATCTTCGAAAATTATGCATGTATCGAAATTTCCACCATCGAACTATCTAAACAAATTAATGGAACGACTGCATAAATAAGCCCTGGTTAGTCAGCCCGCGGGCTGACTAGTTATGGTACGAAGAACTTCCAATGCGCTTGCGTGACCTGGAATTCTGGGAGTGGTTCTGCAGTAAATCACTCCTGCTAATTTTATTTCAGTAAAATCAATATAGATTCCCTATTAAACACCAAAGTAATCTGTAAATTTAACTCAAAAAGGAATTTCCCGATGCTTATTTTTGTATAGAAGGTTTCAAACAGTTTACTGGTTCGCAGTAATTTAACTGGTTCGCACTTGATCATGTGTTCTACGCAGCGAAGCATACAGTTGCTACTGTTGGATGAATTTAGTGTTTGACGCGTCAATTGAAGCTCTTTTATAAAATATATTGAAGGTTTTTTACTTATGTATTTAAATCTACAGCACAAACAGTGGTTTATTACATATTTTTAGCTTTTCAGTTTTTTCTGCTTTTACTTTCGTTTTCACTACAAATCATTTCGATCCCGATGCTAAATAGCGGACAGACTTGTTAAGTCATACAACAGATACTTCGGAAAGAAAACACAACTGGCTAAGCTTGCTCGTTTGTTGCCCCTCGCTGAAATTAGAGAATATTAATTTCAGTCTGTCTGTAACACTTTCACTTCCCCGCAATATTGCGTGAAGTCTTTGAGCTATTGCAGTGAAATTTTACACAATAGTTTACACCTTATATGGCCTTTGGAAGACCCTCTTGATTTTGAGGTCAAAGGTCAAGTTATTAAATTCAGAAATTCTGTCTGTTTAAACACTTGTTTTCGCGCGATATCTCTATAAGCCATTGAACTTTTGCAATGAAATTTTATACCACAACTCCCTATGGCCATATATATGGCGTAAGGAATACCCCTGTGTATTTTGAGGTTCAAACGTCAATGTCATAAATTCATACTTCTGTGTGACTCTGTGTAAAACTTTCATTTCCAGTCAATATCTCAAGAAGGTTTTGAGTCTTTGCAATTAAATATCATAAAGCATAACTCCCTATGGCCCCGCCCTGGACCCCCCCCCCCCCCCCGATCTGCGCATGCTTTTTTAATCCGTAAATTGGATTGTTTTTCATAAACTAAGACCTAATAATCTAGGTTGTGGCAATCATATTTATGAATTAATAGGTTTATTATATTATAAGAGGTCTGATAAATGAATTTGTAGTTCTTGGTAATGTTTGCTTTATTTCAATTCAGCTAGTTACTAGTAAGTCAAATGACGATAGTTAATAAACAAAAAAAAAGCTTAGGCTATACCCTCAAAGCTTACATGTTACCTGTTTGAATGAACTATAAATGTTTATTTTTTTATTCTAAAATGTACTAGAAAATGTACTAGGTATTGCAATAATCCTTTATTTGTATTCTCAAACGAAGGTTTAGTATGGCTGTTTAAGTATCGCAGGGACAAGGGTGTTTCCCATTTCTAAACACATAGCCAAGAGTGATTCAACCGGCGGCATGATTAACTCTAACAAGGATGATAGTGAAGCTTATTGGGCTCCGTTTTGTTAAAAATGGCATAATGTCTATATATCCCCCTCCCCCTAAAATCTTATAGATCTGATAATGAGATTATAGGTTTATAACTTCTTTGAATTATGTTACGTGAACTGGAACTTAAAAGTTTATATATTCTTTCCGTTCTTTTGATTTTGAGACAAAAAAATGCAAGAATCTGCATGCACAAACGCTTCTGTTCCTATGCAGAAAATATATTAAGACGATGTTTTAATTTTAGTGCCCAGCTCTGCTATTTGTCTGATTAAAAATTTGTTAAAGGTATTTTTTCAGTTCTCTATGATTCTTTAAAACATTATCACAGAGAAGAAAAATCCACTGGCTGACTCTCTAAGCTTTTTTTAAAGTAATTCCACCCTCCTATGATGTCATAGGTTTTTGCAAAAACTGTAATTAGTTTAAATTCATACCTAATAGAACAATATCTCTTGGAAGAATGCTTTACAATAGGTGTAATGATAAATATTGTTAAGTTAAAGAATATAAAAAATGCATATTTTCTATATTTAATAAATTATTCAATCTTTAAAAAAATGTTTACAAGGGCAATAACTCCTTCTAAGGCCTCTTCATTCAGGCATTTGCTTTATTGTAAAACAATTTCCCTGATATTCACAATTCAAAAGTATCTTTTAAGTAGGGAGTATTTAGGAACACTCAGCATCAGAATTATGCATTT